TAATAATAATAATAATAATAATAATAATAATAATAATAATAATAATAATAATAATAATAATAATAATAATAATAATAAAGTTGGAAGAGACCTTGGAGGTCATCTAGTCCAATCCCCTGCTCAGGCAGGAAACCCTATACCATTTCGGACAAATGGCTGTCCAGTCTCTTCTTAAAAACTTCCAGTGTTGGAGCATTCACCACTTCTGGAGGCAGGTTGTTCCACTGGTTAATTATTCTAACTGTCAGGAAGTTTCTCCTTAGTTCTAGGTTGCTTCTCTCCTTGCTTAGTTTCCACCCGTTGCTTCTTGCCCTGCCTCCTCCAATTTTAATCTGTATTCCCTTTTGTTGCTCTAATCTTCAGGTGGATTCCAGCTCTAGTTAATATTTACTTTGATTAATCAAAAGCAGAGAAATTTCTAAAACTCAAATTCAATAGCCAGTTAAGTGCCTTCTTATCTTGTCACTCACAATGTGAGTGTCAATGCTGCTAACATCGAATGTTTTTGCTTTGAACAACAGTTGGAGATGCAACCATTTTCTTCTGTTTTACTCTTAGAGTTAGAGCTAGAGTTAGATGATGCTGGGGGGAGGAATGTGCATGAGAGTTTTGCTAGACATAAAAATACTGGACCTAGTGTGTGAACCAGAGGTTATTGAAATAAGAAATGGTAAGAATTGGCAGGCTGGAGAACTGGAGGGAAAGCCTGCATTTCAAACTAATTGGAGAATATGATTTATGACAGTTAATTGGAGGAGGGAATTGTGCTTTGATACTATGTGTTCAGGGGAGGGGAATCTAGTTTTTGGGTTTGATTATGTTAGTGCCAATGCTATGCTTCTCTAATAAACATTCTTTAAGGTAAACAATGCTTCAAAGTTCTTTGAAGAGTTTCATCTATTGGAACCCTGACAGTGAAATTCTATATTAGTAGAAATATTTAGTAGGATAAAAACAATCAGCTAGTGATTTCAAAGTCAGTGTGAGTTGTGGTGGTGGGGGCACGGAGGGAGGCCCAGCCAATTTCACTGTATACATGTTATACTTTGATAATAAAGGTTCATTCATTCATCTGTGAATTAATATAAACCAACCAGAACATGATTAAATATTTTGTTATTTATAGGGGGGTCTCAAAGAGAACCTTTTAGAAGAATAAAAATTATGAATAATAAATTTTCACAGCTCTTTAGAATTAAGATGGGAAAATAGATACTGTATCATAGGCCATCAGAATGATCACATGACCATTGTTTGTTTCCTTTCCACTTCTCACGCAGTTCTCAGGAAAAAAAACCACGGGAAGCCAAACTCCACTCAAAACTTAAAAATCTGGCAAAGTGATCGAACCAGCTGTCCTCAATGAGTCCTTTCTGCTTTGCTTGTATGGAGAGGCACTGAGATGACACAAGTCCTTTACACTGTAGGAGTCAAGATTCATTTCCACAGAAGATAATAACCACATTGTCCAGACGAACGGATATTAAAATGGAAAAATCACCAGACAGTTGTACTGAATTTTACAATGGCACTGAGGACAGACACCCCAACATTTCTGCATCTGCACATCTAGAAGAAATCTTGTCTTATTTACTCATTCTCCTTGGTTTTCCAGGAATTATTGGAAATGGAATTGTCATCCGACATTTGGCTTTCAAGATGAAAAGGAATTCTGTCACTGTCTATATCCTCAATTTGGCCTTGGCAGATAGTGGGACTCTCATATTCCTTTTTCTGGCTGGAATTCGGTACCTAATTAGTAAGGATTTTCTCATAGAATTAACAGAAGGTTTCATTTGGACTTACTGCATCGGTCAACTTCTTCTGACTGTCATCAGCTTTGACCGATGTTTGTCTCTCTTCTTCCCAATTTGGTATCAGTACCATCAGTCCACATACCTGTCCACCACAGTCTGTGTCATTACTTGGATAAACTCTTTCTTTATCTATGCATTTAATTATGCTCTGTTTGGGTTTGCTTGGTTTAAAGGGTTCCCTCCACTCTACCACATTCTCATATGCACCTCAGTTTGCGTCCCGCTCATGCTGGTATCCAGCCTTGCCCTCTTCATCAAAGGCTACCTTAAATCACAAATGAAAAGGCAGGGAAAGCTTCTCACAGCCATCTTGCTTGCCCTGTTTTGCTTCCTCATCTTTTCTTTTCCACTAATTGCCATTTATATCATCAACGTTATTTCCAATAGGAAATGTTTGAGCTTCATTCCATATGGCTACTTATATGCCTGTCTAAACAGCAGTATTAAGGCATCAATCTATTTTCTACTGGGGAGAAAGAAGGAACATACAACCATGTGCAACCTACAAATTAGCCTTCAGAGACTTTTTGAGGAGGAGGAGGAAGAAGAGAATGAAAAGCATCCAGAGGTTCAGGTTGTTAGCCAGTTACAATATGCTCATGAAAAAGAAATATCCATGTTTCTATAACCTCCATCTAGGATGTGACTGTTAATTCAGGTAAACCTGCTCTAGCAAATCCAGGATTATCAGAAATGTAATGGGGTTCCACACACTGCTTTAATGTTCCCAGCTCTTTTATGCTGAGGGGCAGTTACTCAGCAAAGATATTTTAGCAATGAGAATTGATCTGTGACTCTGGAAACCTCATTCTGTGATCCATGCAAAAATATGCACGCTTTGTTAATATCCCACGCATCTTTACATATATGGATTTCAAATATAAGAATACTTATTTTAATTTTGCTTTCATTAAAATCGTAATAATCTGTTCTTGTGGTTTCTTCTTTTTATTTTTGTCTGTTGTTAAACACCTTGAATGGTAAATAATCTGGAAGGAAGGGTATACAGTTAGCAAATAAATTAATAATAATTCACCTTGTTGTGTAGAACAGGGTTCCCCAAACTTTTGGGGTTGGCGGCCTGGAGCAGGGGGAGGGAGGAAAGAAGGGATGGTTTGGTGGGAGGAGTAAATGCATGTGCACGAACGTGCGCGCACATAAATAACAATTGCTTGCGTGAGTGGGGCCACGAATGCCCATGATGCTCGTGGCGACACTCGTGTGAATGGAGCTGTGTTTGCACACGCACATGTGCACACCGGCCAGCCACTCATACAGCCTGTTAGTGTTACTCCTTGGTGAATAACCAATGTCAGAAACCTAGGTGTGTATATATGGATTTTGTGGGTTCCCCCATCCCACCCCACAGATACACCTGGAACCAAATTAAGGGCATTTTTCAGCTTTGCTCCTTGTTCCTTGACTTCTGAAAACTTACTTTTATAGTTAAGATAAAATCATAGCCAACAAGGGCTGCCCCAAAGTTCAAGTTTACCTGGAAAAGAGGTTAAACTCCTAAGAATTCCAGGGGCCTCAAAGGCATAGAGATAAGTAAAAATGAAAAAAAAAGATAATCTGGAATAGAAGGCGGAATCTTTGGTTGTCTTAGACTCCAGAACAATAATCTCAAAAGAAGTCAGGGAAGATATTTGCAACATGAGTCAGATTATATTAATTAAGGGGTATGAAGAGTTTAAGAAAGTGAGTCTTTTGCCATGCAATAGTTCAAAGTATTATGAGGTATTTAGTCTGCCACATAACTAAATTTTATGCTCCCATACACTTGTTTAATACTTTGACTCCTCCTTTTAGATTCTTCTCACCGGGATATAAGAAAAAAGGCTTCTTTATTGCTAAGCTTTTGTCAACGAGCTGTTGACATCATCAGAGCAAGGGCTGAATAACAAGGGAGCCTGTGCATATACACTTATATAACAGTTATAACAGTTGCAGTATGGAATGTGCACATGGCATGCTCATAACACACTCGCTCGCAAAAAGTCACGGTGGTATAGGCATCTATGCGGAAGCCAGTCTCTGGTTGAAATTCAAAAGTTGCACCTATCAGCTGTTTAGCGCGTAAGCCTCGTCGCGCCTATCAGCTGTTCAGCGCATGAGCCTCATCGCACCGCGCACAGTCGTGTGCCGGCTGGACCCCCCCTGGCTGCACATCGCACTATATATATATACTCTTTGATAGCAATAATGCAGTCAGGAAACAGAAGAATCCGAGGGTTGAAAGAGTTTGCTTTTGATCAAGATAACTGCAGATAACCGAGGGTAAGAATATAGAAGAATAGAATAGAATAGAAATATAGAATAGAATTGTAGAACAGAATAGAATAGAATAGAAATGTAGAATATAATATAATATAATATAATATAATAGAATAGAATATAATAGAATAGAATAGAATAGAATAGAATAGAATAGAATAGAATAGAATAGAATAGAATAGAATAATAACTTTATTGTCACTTTGAATGTACACTAATCGGCATACATTAAAATGAAATTTCATTGCATTCAGCTCTCAAAGGGTCACCACCTCCGATCTACACTACATAAATGTGACAAATATAAATAAATAACTATAGAATTATGCATATACCCACATATATTATATGACACAGAGAAACAACAATCTAGTTCAGGTTATGTTTACATGTGCATGGTGAGAAAAAAACGACTCTTGCAAGTTTTCAGACGGATGGCATAGGGAACAAAGCTATTACAGAATCAGGTAGTCCTGCTAGAAATACTTCAAAACCTCCTCCCAGAGGGGAGCAACAGAAACAGACCATAAAGTGGGTGTGTGGAGTCTCTAGCGATGTTTTGAGCTCTAAGCACATATAAGCACTTATAAGCAGCATCCTGAATACCAGGGAACGAGCTTCCTATGATCTTCTCGGCTGTCCTTACCACTCTCTGTATAGAATAGAATAGAATAGAATAGAATAGAATAGAATAGAATAGAATAGAATATGGAATGGAATATGGAATGGAATGGAATGGAATGGAATGGAATGGAATGGAATGGAATAGAATAGAATAGAATAGAATAGAATAGAATAGAATAGAATAGAATATGGAATGGAATAGAATATGGAATGGAATGGAATAGAATATGGAATGGAATAGAATATGGAATGGAATAGAATAGAATATGGAATGGAATGGAATAGAATATGGAATAGAATAGAATAGATGGATTTGACTAATTGAAATCCTTCTAATTAAAATCTTTCTTTCTTTCCAAGGGATCTTGCAGGTTTTCTGGTCCAACCCAGATTCAAGAGGATCTTATACCATCTCAAAGAAATGGTTGTCCAATCTCATCATAATCTCCTTTCAGTGATTTTCCATTCCCTAGAATTTCCTAGTGATTTTCTATCCCGTCCTAGCTGAAAATAACTCCACGAAAATATATTGGAGTTTAACCAGTCATTGATGATTCTCTGGATTTAACATATAACTAGGTCTCAAAATTATCCCCCACCCCAAAAAAAATACCTTCCAAAGAGCTTAACATTAAAGGAGGGAATAAAAAAAAGCCAATGTCATAAAATGTTTACTTATTTATTTAGAGTTTAAAATGCAACAACAAACGTGTAGGATAAAAGCAATAAAATGCGAAGTAAAACCATCACACGAACTAGGCAGCTTTGCAGGGCAGGCGTTCAAAATCAAATCAAAAGTCCAAACCCATTCAAAAAGTCTAGGTTTTAAAATGAAAAAAAAAAAAAAATCTTCACCTGAGGCTGAAAAGATACAAAGGTGAGACATTCTGGGGGGAGGGGCAAACTCCATTAACGGGGTGAAAAAGTTCTCGAAAGAAAGAAAGAAAGAAAGAAAGAAGAGAAAGAGGGAAAGAAGAAAAAAGAAAAAGAGAAAGAAAAAGAAAGAGAGAAAAAGAGAAAGAGAAAGAGAAAGAGAAAGAAGAAAAAAAGAGAAAGAGAGAAAGGGAGAGAAAGAAAGAAAAAGAGAGAAAAAGAGAGAGAAAGAAAGAAAAAGAAAAAGAGAAAAAGAAGAGACAGAGAGAGAGAGAGAGAGAAAGAGAGACAGAGAAAAAGAGAGAAAGAAAGGAAGAAAGAAAGAAAAAGAAAGAGAAAGAGAGAGAGAAAGAAGAAAGAGAAAGAAAGAAGAAAAAAGAAAAAGAAAAAGAGAAAGAGAGACAGAGAAAGAAAGGAAGAAAGAAAGAAAAGAGAGAGAAAGAGAAAGAGAAAGAAAGAAACAGAGAAAGAAAGGAGAAAGAGAAAGAGAAAGAAAGAAAGAAAGAAAGAAAGAAAGAGAAAAGAAAAAAGAAAAAAGAAAAAGAAAGAGAAAGGGAGAGAAAGAGAGAAAGAAAAAGAAAAAGAGAAAAAGAAAAAAGAGACAAAGAGACAAAGACAGAGACAGAAAGAGAGAGACAAAGACAAAGAAAGAAAGGAAGGAAGGAAGGCGGCCCAAGGACAAAAGAAAGGAGAACAAAAGCGCAAATTCCCTTTTTTTAAAAAAACAACATCCATTTCGGCTACCGATATCCATCCTCTGCGATGCAAAAAAAAAACTCCAAAAAACCCTTATCCAGGCTTTGATGCATGCAATTATATTCCTTTCCTCCCCACAAGAGCGAGGGCTGTTGATTATTGATGGCTGTTGCTGTTAAATAATCCAGATTCTCTCCACTTTTGCACGCCGGCGATCTGGAAGGTGGTGCGATCCGGAGGGAGATCGGCCATGGGTCCTTTGGCCAGAAGGGGGGAGAAGGAGGGGGGGTCTTCCAAACCCCAGTCCCCCAGAAGGGTTGTCGGTTTTCTCAGCCCGAAAGCCTCGCTTCCAAAGCAACTTTCCAGCACGGTTCATCTTCTGCCCGCGACGGTCCCTCCAGCTGCTGCCCAGAAAAAGCTCCTTTCCGAAGTGGCGAAGGAGGAACCGGAGCCGGTTTATAAGGGCAGCGCAATAAACCCAGCCTTCTTTTTTTGCCACCCAGCGGGCGTCAGCTTGCACGGCTGCGTCATTTGCACGCCCCGTGGGACCCACCCTTTCTCCTGCCCTCGAGGCTTCAGCTCCTCAATCAGCGAAGGGGGGGCGGGTTTGACCCCCCCCCGGAATGTCGTGGTTATTAGGTTTTTTTAAAAAAGGAAAACAACGTTGCAATGCCCCCTGCAGGAAAATAAAATAAAATAAAATAATAAGATAAAATAAAGCTGAGGATACGGATCGCAAGGCTTATTCTGCCATTCAGTAAAAAGTCTGGTCTTGGGGGAAGACAACACACACACAGCCATAAAATAGTTTGGGGGATATTTTAAAAAAAGCAGAATGTATTTACACACAGACACACATACAGAGAGAGAGAGAGAGAGAGAGAGAGAGAGAGAGAGAGAGAGAGAGAGAGAGAGAGAGAGAGAGAGAGAGAGTAAATAGTTTGGAGGATATTAAACAAAGCAGAATATATTTACACACACACACACAGAGAGAGAGTGTAAATAGTTTGGGGGATATTTAAAACAGCAGAATATATTTACACACACACAGTGTAAATAGTTTGGGGGATATTTAAAAAGCAGAATATATTTACACACACAGTGTAAATAGTTTGGGGGATATTTAAAAAAGCAGAATATATTTATATATATATATAC